CCCATAGGGGACCCAAGGTGGCTCACAACCACTGAAACTAAAACTATAAAACAAACCATTATGAATACTATTTTTAAAAAACCATTAAACCTGTTTCAAGCTTAAAAACAAATTTGCAAGATTTAAAACTCTGTAAGTTAATTTTTTTAAAAAAATAATCATTCCAGGTCTAATGTCGATTCTAGAGCAAATTCATTTACTTCACTTAGTTTTCTGGTTTCTGAGAGAAGGGGAAGAGAGGGGGGGTCAAACTGGCATCTCCAACTTTGGAGCAACTCCCAAGAAGAACCTGATACAGGCGAAAGGAACCGAACGAAGCTCATCGTGTAGTTGAGAGCGTTGAAGACAGAGTGGGTGGTTCCAAAGATTAGAAAAGTTACCTTTTTTAAAAAAAAGATAAGTCACCAAATCCCACAGCCAGGATGGGCAAGCGGTTATGGCAGTTGGTGGCTTCTGGGAGTTGAGGGCCAAAAAAGTAATTTTTCCAAGCTTCAGGAAACCATGAGGTTTACAGGGAACCTTGGTTCAATCCCTTTTCAGAGTCACATCCAGGTCACAGCTACATTGCCTTGTGTTGTTTGCCAATGATGGGGGTGAAGGGATGCAGGCCAAGTCTTGGGACCTGCGTTCCAAATCCGAGTGTGTATCTTTGGTACCAAGTCCAAGTTTTGGGACTCGTGACTTGGTACCAAAGACTCAGGCCTCCCCCGACCTCTCTGCCCACACATGCACCAGCTGGCTCATAATCTGGCACATAGCGGGCCAGCTCCGGGAACAGAAGGCCATCTCTGCGCATATGCAGTCCCATCAGCTGCCTGTTTCGGAAGATGGTGGCCATGGTGGCAACAGTAGGCTGATGGCAGTGGTGCTAGCGGTAGGGGCGGGGGAGGCAGGGGGAGGCCTATAGGGACTCAACAACACCACTTGTACCAATGAGCCCAGGTTGTAAGTCAAGTCCCAAGTCCTTCTGCTCCCCCCAAAAAAACACCACCGAGTTGAGTCTAAGTCAAGTGATGGCTGTGTCTTAATTCCAACTCAACGAGGACTCAAGAGTCCCCATTCCTGTTGTGGTGGACTGCTGGTGTTGCTTTCTTGTCTTGCTGAATGACTCGCTTTAGGAAGATGCTGGACCAGTTACTCCAAAAAGCATGATGATGAATGGTTCCTGCTGGCTACTCCCTGGCCTGTCTCGCAGGTCCATGAGCGTGGTGGCTTTTCAAGACAGCAGTGAGCTGGAAAAAAGGTATTTGAAGAGCTTCTAACATTAGAAGAAGGAGGGATACAGGCCCCTGGAGAAGCATGTCAGTAAAAGAAAAACTCCCTGAGAGGTGTATAGCGCCTAGCCTGGCCTCCTCTTGCCTCTTGCCAATTAACTTGCTTTTGCCTCGTAAATGGTCTCATGACTGGTCATAAGGAACGTGGGCTTCATTCAGAAATCTGATTAAACTGGGAAAGCGTTACAGTAGGACCCTTCCTATCCGCGGGATCAGTATCCACTGGTTCACATCTGCTGCCGTAATATTGTATTACCAGAAAGGGCCACTAGAAGGAGCCAGAGACGATGCAGTGTATAGCATTTGATACTTCTGTGTTTGCCAGCATCCGTTGGGAAGCTTGGAACCTATTCCCAGTGGATAACGTGGCCCTACTGTACATGCCTGAAGGGAGAGTACAATAACAGCCCCTTGATGTCTAATTTGACCCCATCAGAGAGAAAGACAGAGGGACGAAGAGGGAGAAAGAATGGATGGATGGATGGATGGATGGATGGATGGATGGATGGATGGATGGATGGATGGATGGATGGATGGATGGATGGATGGATGAACGAATGAATAAGCAAACGAATGAACGAACTAACGAATGTTGGAAGATGAGAGAGAAGAGACCAGAATAGAGAGTGAAATTTAAAGTGGAATGATGGCCTAGAGATGGAAAGACTGGTTCAGGAAGGAGGACTGGGGCAAAGTCTGGTTTGAAATGGAAGCCGCAAACATGGAAGGAGGGAAGCCGTCATGATGAAGGAAAAGGGCAGAGACGTTGGAGAATCTGAGGAAGAGGAGAAGTTAGCCGAGAGAGGATGTCAGGAGAAGGTCATGAAGAAGGAGATGGTGGTTGTCCTTAAGTGAGGGGTGACTAACTTCACACCCAGATCCTGGCAACAACAGACTTACCCAGACTGGTGCCCAGCGCATGGCTTGGGCTACCGTTTCTGTTCCATTGGTGAGGACGATGGACGTTGTAGTAAGTATCGAAATGTTTTTTATTCTTTCTCCTACAAATGTCTCGGAGCCAGTTAGCAAGGCTTAGTGGTGGATCTCTGTACTTCTACGGTACAGCACAAAGAATTTTATCAGAAATTCAAAACTCTGCCCCTATCGGTACCCCATGTCAGACTTTGAGTACGCTGACTCTTTGCCTCTCTCTCTCTCTCTGTGTGTGTGTGTGTGTGTGTGTGTGTGTACACATGCAGATATCTGCTTGTGTGAGAGTAACCAAGAAAGACAAGACAGCTATGGTTGCTTACACGGGGTACGAACGCCCACATGCCGCCCTCTGCTGAAATCCAAGATCGTCAACTGCCCTGAGTTGCGCATGAAAAATGTCAGCCGTCACTTTTGAAAAGACGCCCAGGCCCTTGATTGAAGTTTGCGAGCCGCAAGGAATCTTAAAGATCTGTTTGGTATGCAGCAACAGAACCGGGACAGATTTACTCTGCCAGCCATGAAATGGATTCAAATTACCTGGTTAGCTATTAGTTAGTTATTTTTAAAAGACTCCATGGAGGAGCGGACTTGTGTATACCTTTGGCCAGCCCTGTCGCAGCGCATTGATTGTGCTTGTTTTTGTCCTGGCTGAAGGCTGGCGTGGATTCTTTGGGCCACTTCTGTCTATGCAAAAATGTTCCGTTTGCGCGGATGTTCTTATAAACAGGGCCGTTTCGTGTTGGCAGTGCTGATTTCCATATTGAGAGGGTCTGTGAGACTGTGCTGCGGTTGACAATATTTTTCACCCCAGCACAGCTGGGTCGTATGTTCTCTGGGTCATATGTTCTCGTATGTTCCCTTATGGGTCAATGGTCTTTCTCTCTCTCTCCAAACTCAAATTGGCTTGTTTACTTGCTATTTTTCAGCATCTTTTGGGCAGAGAAGCAGAGCATTCAATGAATAAAGCTTGATTTCTAAGCTTGGTTCAGTCATCACCAGTGGCACTCTTTGGGAAGTACGATGCTGCAGGAAAGCTTCACAGATGCTATGGACCACCAGAAATACAAATAAGGAGTTGCTGTTTAATGTCAGGTCAACTCCAACTTGCCCCAAGTTCTGAATGAGTGAAACCCCCCCCAAAAAATAACCATCTGTCTTTCTCGCCTCTTGTAAATTCAAGCCTATGGCTTCCTTTAGGAGGTTCATCCATCTCGTATTTGGCCTTCCTCTTTTCCTGCGGCCCTCTATCTTTCCTGGCATTACTGTCTTTTCCAGAGAACCCTGCCTCCTTATGATGTGCCCAAAGGCGGGCAGCCTCAGGTTCATGACTTTTGCTTCCCGGGGAAAGTTCAGCCTTGATTTGATCTAGGACCCACTCGTTGGTCTTTCTGGCAGTCCAGAATATCTGCAAAGTTCTCGTCCAGCACCCCATTCCAAAGGAATCTCTCTTTTTTCCCCTGTCAAATTCCTTCAATGTCCAGGTTTCACACAAATGCACAGCAATCGGTGATACAATCCTGTAGGGCTTTGCTTCCTTGCTTAGATAATGGTCAAAATCAAGGATGTGCATTTCAGTTTTTGTTTTGTGTTTGGGGGGGTTGCCTACAAATCCCATAATTCTCCTTTCTGGGAGTTCAACCTGCTGGAGCCGGACTTTATAGACACCTAAATTGTGCTCACCTGGAGAGAAAGGTCAGCTACCAAGCTTCACAGCCTTGGAAAGGCCTAACTTCCTGTTTGAAAAGGAAGTTTCCCAGCAGCCATTGGGACAGCCTCTTTTTAAGACAGGAAGTTAGGCCCAGCCAAGGCATGAAGCCATCCAATTGAGCCTTATTTCCTGTTGACCCTGATGAAGGTGTCAGGAAGGTCTGAGTCTCAAAGGTGGAGAATGATGGGATTTGTAGTTTCAGAAACCCACAATGAATGCCCCTAACTCAAGAACTGCCTTGAGTTTTTGGTTGTGGGATAAGAGAAAGTGAGGCCACCAACTAGTCTTAACTTTGGATAATTTTGACACAGAGACTTTTTGCAGCCAATTACAACGGACTCTGGGAGAAGCACATCAACAGCTC